TCAACTAAAGGGCTAATTATAACTTTCACAACGCCTGCCACTTGATATAAATAAATAAAATTATCATGTTCAAAAATCGAAAACAAAAGTTTTGGAATATATTTATTGGCATTTTTGTACATAAAAAGTGTATTTAAATTTGGGAATTGGCTAGTTTATCATCACCAAGTAGTTTACAAAATTTTCAAGTGTCATCGCTTATAACTTATTTTTCTTCAAACTATAGGCAAAATCGCAATTTTTCTTATTGATTCAAACTTATGGTATAAATGATGATAAATGCAATATTGTACAAAATGAGGTATCCTACGTTTTAAAGGCTTTAAATTAAAATGCATTTTAAAACAGTTTTGAAAAACTCTCCGATATTTGTTCCAAAATACAAAAATGTGAAGGAAATCTGCCTTCACGTACAGCTTGATTCGTTTAACTTTTTTGTTTTAAATGTTTTGATTATGTATTGCTTACTATTTAAATGAATTTTTCATGCATTCCTAATAAAGTTTTCACGAAAAGGCATTCGAATATCTGTTTAAAGTAGAGACCTAACTGCTCGAAGTAAAATTAATATTTCATTTTTTCTGTATATTTCGCTGTATATTCTCACTCTTTTGAGAGGCAATTATTTGCATTAAAAGATTGCACCTAATTTGTTAAATTTTTTGTCAATGTGTTGGAGAAAGTAAAAGCCAGTCAGTAGAGTTTCCGCAAATATATTTATTTATATCAAATGGCAGGCGTTTTGATGGTTATCATTAGCCCTTTAGTTGACCTCAGGCTTCACAGAGGGGAAAGAACAACAAAGTGAATAAAAAGTCGAGGGGAGGGGAACTGAAGAGTGTTTCAAAGATGAAAGAGACAAAATTTAGAAAAGATGTGATGTAGTACTGTGGCAGTGGTTGAATATGACATACAGTGGGGTCATGATAGCTTGAACTCAGAAGTCAACTGCCGGTTTATAGACTTTTTTGCCGTATGAGTATACGTTGCCCAGAGTGCACCACGTGGAGGTAAGTCTATCGTACACCCCAGTTTCCGCAAATATAACA